CGCACTGTGCACTTCAGCATGCTCTGACCCCGTTCTGTCATTTTAAGTGGCCTACCACTTTGTTGCCGAGTTGCTGTTGTTCCCTGTTGCTTTCAATTTGTTATAATACCACTGACAGTTGACAGTTGATCTCTGACAAAACAAATTGTCAACAAAGTTAGACAATTTGTTTTGAGGATCTCTATATACTATATAGATATATATATATATCTAACTTTGTTGACTTTAAGAGAACTATTTTACAATTTTAGACTCTTTTCTTTGAGTGTGGTACTTTGCATTGTTCTTCTCTTCTAGTTTGTGTAAGGTCAAGTTAGATTTTCAGTCAGAGCTTACACAGGTAGATGACTTTCACCCCGCCTACAAATGACAGCTCATGGCCAGTCAGTAAGCACCAGTGCTGTCACATGGAATAATTCACATGCTTACCCATATACAAAAGTACTGGGCATTTCAATTGCTTATGGCAGCTGAACAGTGTGACAGGGGAATGAAAGAAAAGGTGAGTTGATCTTGTTGCTTGACCCCACATGGCCAAAAACACAGGTTTGCTTTATTATGAGAAAATATACAATTGATTAAAAAAATTGCAGATCACTAAATATAATTTAGTAGATATTCATTTGAATTAGTCAGGATTGCTTACTATTATTAATTCAAAACAAAGTGTGAATTGGTATTTCTTAGGTGGAAATGTAGATAATTAACATTCAATAAACAATTAGCAACTCCTGTTTTTTATTTTTAAATATGCTAATTGCTTTATCTGTTACCCAGATAGCAAGGATAACTTACCCCAAACTTGTGTCAGGGTTAAATTGTAATTCTTGTTAACTTGCTGCACACATTCCTGGCAAGTTGTAGACTTGCAGAACACTTGCAGCACAGGTTCTAGTTGACACTTTTTGAATTTGTAGCAAATTTTGCTTGGCAAGTCTACAGCACGAGTCCGGCAGGTCTTACCAAGATCTCTGCAAGTGTACAGCACTTTTGCAAAGCACGTTGATCTGGAGACTTGCAATGCAGACTTGTAATTGTGTAATTGTGCAACAACATTGTGAAGCTTGGCAAGTCTGAAATACTTTAGCAAGTAATTTTCAAACTTGCAGCTCAATTGCTTGCTATCTGCATAATGATTAAAAAAACATTTTGCACTGACCAAGCAAATGTTTGTAATGTTTATTACATGGTTTGACTAGTGTCATGTTTTTGCCATGTGTTTTTTTTAAATTCAATGGATAGCTTGTGAAGAAGCCATACTTAAGATAATATCTTGCTTTTAATTAAATATTTTTTAACCTGTGCTTGATTGCCGGAATCCAGTAAAATGTGTCTTGGAGATTATAAACTGCATTTCCATACACTCGGTCAAAACTCTTTTATAATTATAATTTTCTATTTCCTATAATGTATTCTTATACAGCGCAGGAAATGTACAAACTAAATGACATGGTTGAATTTACAGGTACATTAAGTTTTCAGTAGCAAAAGTCTTGCAGTCTGGAGCCTGAGGCAAATGGAGATAAAGCAAGCCAGCCATGCTCATAGAGAATAGAAGCTTAGATTTAACCCTGGATTTCTTTTTTTCTACTTCAAAGTCAAAGCCAGAGCCACAAAATCTATTCCTGCTACTCTGGGAGAGTTTTGCTTTTGCCTCTGGGGTAACATCCTCAGTCAGGATGATAAGCTATAAGATGCTAGCAACAGGAAGGTACAAGCTGAGTATACATATGTTACAAGTATGCCCTTGGTCATGGTGTGTAGCACACATCACAACACATATTTATTTACAGTCCACAATGTAGTAAGATGGTACTGTTATATCAGGGTTATATAACCTACTCAAAACAATATGAAAATACAAGTGTAGAAAAGCAAAAAAAGCGCACAAAAAACTTTAATGAAAACAAGAACAATTCCAGCCAAATGGATTTCTCCATTTGTGCTGGAATGGCGTTTAATTATTTGCTTGGACTTCACTGTTATATAGGACCCTGGCAGGTAGACATCACCCCACTTCCAGTTAGAGAAGTGCCCTCACAGTGCTAACCACCAGTAAATGCACTGTTTCTTTGGTGTCTAGTGTAGTGCCCCATTACATGAATGTCCCATGTCTCTGGTGCTGAAAAGTGACATGGATGATGGAACTCTGCAGGCATGTGAGGTGGGAGAACAATGCCCCGTTAACAATCATGCCACTAGCGAGAATTCAACAATGACAGGGAGGACATATACCTGCTTTGTATGTGCCACTACCCCACCAGCTTCAGCAGCAATGTGTTGCTCTCTCACTGCTGAAAACACTGCTAAATTGCTGGCAAAAATGTAATGCCTCAATTCCATAGCTAGAAAGGAAGTGGCATTTTCAAGCAGGTGAGCGTTTTCACTCCCTGCTCCTTTCTCCAAAGCGATCCTGCCACTGGTAACTCCTTACCAGCAACAGGATCACCAGTGTAACATGGCCCTTAACAATATCTGGAGTGAACTACACTGACCTTATAACACTAGTGTTCTATATATGCTTAAGCCATTATGGGGAAAACATAAATGCTTGACTTAATTTGCCAGCATGCAACCAAAACAGTCAAAATGAATTTGTAGTTAAAGGAGAGCTATGGGGTTAAGGCTTTTCCCCATAGTCCTCCTTAGGGTAACGGGAGGACACAAACCAGCGTCCTCCCGTCACCCTAGGCTCAGTATACCGCGAGCTGCTCGCGGTATACTGAGATGCCGCGGCTGAAGCGGATCCTGACAATTGTGCTGGGATCCGCCCGGCTGCATGACTGACAGCTGGCTCTGCCTATCTAGAGGCAGAGCCAGCTGTACCCGCCCCCTCCCCCGTCCGTTCCACCAGTCAGCGCTATCGGAGCGGGGAGGGGGGAATCCAGCCCCTCCCCTGTCACGGCAGAGAGCCGTGACAGGATCGAGAGGTGAGCGAACGCCGGTATGTGTTCGCTCACCTCCCGATCTACTGAGCCGACCTGTGACAGTCTCATTGTCACAGGTCGGCTAGAACTATGAGGTGAGTGAAAAGCACTCACCTCCTAGTTCACCTTTAAATGGTAGCTTTTAGGTACAGGTCTTGAGGCAGTGTGGTCTGTGTCTGCACTCCACTTTGGCTACTAAAAGGATTTATTCTCTTTTCTGGTCTATACACAGAAAATAAACTAAGACTACCCATAGACATAAGACAATGCTCGCCAGGCTTGTGGCCAAAACTTTGGAAGAATTATCTTTTGTACAAAAGATTGTAAAAAACAAAAAAGATTGTTTGAAAATTGTGTACAATTCTTTATTATAACATTGAAAAACAAATTTGCAAAAAGATCATTCATCCATGAAAAAATGGCACATCCCAGCTTTACATAGTGATTATTCCTGATGACATTCCTCTACAATAGTTAATACAAATTACAATTGTTAGGCAAATAAATGTTCAAATAAAAGTTGGTAATTTCCCCAGACCTTCTGTTTGGCTTCAGGTCACCTTAACAACACATCTCTAGTTGCCCGGGTATCCTCCTTACTGAAGAGCCCATAATCTCTACTCTATAGAAGCCATAGTTTCCATACAGTGCACTAATGATGCCCAAACTAGCCCGAAACGGCTGCATGCAGTTTCGAATAAATGGCTCTATATTAAGTTGTATCTGTACTAGAAACCTGCGATCCTGGATGGCCACAGAGTGGCATAAGGGAGTTATTTGCATGGCTCCACCCACTCTACTAAAATGAGGAATATACCCGTTATATTTTGGATCTGTGATAGAAGTGAGAACTGCAAATACGCTTTGGTTTAAAAAGCCTCTACAGTTCTCCTTACTGAAGTAAAGTTTACAGTACAGTTTTCAAATGCCTACCAATTGATTGTGAAGAGTAGGAGGAATAATTTATAGCACTAGGAATCCAAATAGATTAAAATAAGAAGAGAAAACTGCAAGTATCTCCTTGAAAATACATTAAAGCAAGAAGAACATAGTGCTATTTCCTTGTATAGTATACATAACTGATCTAAGCTCTTTAAAAAATATCACTGTAAATAAGGAACAAAATGACATTTGAGCAATGCTGTCTGTCTCTGTCAAGTGCCCACTGATTCAACATCTCATTGCTATGTAAAGTCAACATCCAGACTTGATAAATCCTATCTGACTTCATTGGCTGCTGGAATGACAAAGTCTGAAATATATTTACTGTAACATATGGTGAAATTCCCTTTGAATATTAACATTTCAGCCAATAATTTGTTTTTGCAGACACACGAGACAGCTGGTGTTCTACCACCCTCTGTCCTGAACATGTGAAATATTATCTGTGGCATTTACAAGAAGATAAAAAATATGATGCATATAGTCAGAATTTTTTGATGTCCAGCAAGACGTAGGTTGCGAGAACAAATAACAAGTGCATGTTTCCCCATCATAATTTGTTAAAGGTTATTTATGAAGTAGTTTGTAATATCGTTCCAGAGCTGTTCCCACTGAGCATACACAGAATGACTGCATTAAGCTAATTCTGGAAGACTATGCTCCATTTATCAATACAAGCACATGGAAAGAAAGAGAATGTAGTTCACATGCAGGAAACTGGGACTCCGTTGTGCCTCTCTGTACCAAGGTTTTGTTGCTTGCGCTTTCACTGTGCTAACAATTTCAATATAAATATTTAATCTTTATAGGGTACATGGTGTCCCAAATGGGATTTCTATGAGTGGCTGCTGCCATGTTATCATTTGTTCTTATATTAGGAATGACATGATTTATGTGCTACCAGGAGATAGCAGACTGAAACGGTCTGCAGCCACCCATAACTGAATTAGCTTTGATTGAATACCATTTAAAAAAAATAAAATAGCGTTCTTTGTGGCACTGCTGTGTTTTTATGCAGTTCTTTGGACTTATAAATTTGCCTTAGCAATTAATCAGCTGTTTAGTTTTACTGGATCGTCAGCTGACTGGTCAATGTGCATGTTGCATTAATTTGTTTTTTGCACTTCTTACCTTTGTATGGCATTTGTGCTCGTGTCTTCAGAAAGAGTCGACGTCCGGGGGGCAGTATCTTTGAACTTAGATTGTACCCCAAGGAAACACAGCCATGTCTCTGACAGTTTAGGCACATGCCTTTCTCAAAGGTTTCATAGTCTCTGCATTCATATGCCACGCTGTTCTTGTCTTCATTCTTTATAGAATCTATGAACAAGTTGACTGATCTCTCATGAGCACACTTGACTGACTGAGTGAATCCTTATGATAAGGAACAAAGAAAAAAAAATGAATCATGATTATGGACAACTATTCAGGCATAAAAAGAAGTCATAGCAGATTTTGACTTCTGCGCATAAGCTCCATCAAACACATTTCCTCATGGAGTGTCCAGTAAAGCTTGATCAAGTAAAACACATGCTGAACTTATTGAAGAAATGGGGTTTCCTGTTATGTATCAGTCATATTTAGCAGGGAAACATTACTGACCATGTAACACTAACCCCATACAAGCCAGCCACTGGGGATTCTAGATTCTAACCCTTTCCGTATAGAGCCAAAACAATTTACTTTGTGAACGGTCCTGCTATAACCATCATAATATATTACATATGGTAACAAAGATTGTAAATTTAGTTACTTACCAAGGACACCATACTCCACTATATGGCTGTATATGTCTTTGAACTGGCAGCCAGGTTGTATATTGCCTCCATTAGGATAGAAATCATAGTGGCCAACCGGTTGGTTAATGCCAACACTTAATCCTATATGCTGTTGTGTGTTTGTATGGATGGCATCAACAAGGGTTGCATCATCTGGAGACAAACGATCTGTTACAGACATTCCTTCAAATAAAGGGCCAGCTGGGTCAAGTCCTACAAAATATGAGCATGCATTTTAATGTTTGACATGTAAATCAACCTACTAAAATATAAGAACTCAAAGAGAATATACAAACATTTGTTTACTAAGTGTTGTTTTGTATTAAGTAGTGTAGATGTAAAAATCTGGATAATAAAGGCACCTGTGCCCGATGAGCCCAGTTTAAAGGCCAGACACCTTTAAGTATATAACCTACTTATAAGAAACTTTTATTTAAACATTAATCTTCTGTAATGTTATACATACACTGGTGGTGGATGCATTGTGATCCATGCATTATTTTTACTACATGTGTAGTTAGTTGTACAGCTCTTCCAGGCAGGTAGACGTATACATACAAATGCAAACATATACACTAAAGGGAATGTATAACAATTACAGCAATTTAGATATGCCTGTACAATACAATCACTTGATGTAATTTAACTAGTGAGTCTTTACATTTTAAAAATATTATTCCTATGTTTAGTTTATAATTTATATGTATACAGGGCAGTCAGAGTTGCTTATTACATACAGAGTTTCTGATACCTACGGTACTTGCAGAGTTGCACAATGGTTCTGCTTTACTGCTTGTTCTTACCATACATGTTTAGGGGAAATAAAGGCAAATAGGCTGTTCACATTGCAAGGGCACTTGAACTCTGCAGGGGAAGTTTCCCCTTAGTTTATTGAATGTGGTAAAGCTCTACTGACTTCTGTCAGCCAATCATGTGCAAGTTTGTTTTTTCCTTGCACATGATGGGGTATTCTTTGCAAAGGGAATTTAACCATATTCACCAGACTAAGGGAAAAACCTCCTACAATGTGCAAATTCCCTTGCAAAGCTAATGGCCTATTTGCCTCCATCAACCCCTGTGAGTCAGCTTACCCAAGAGAAACACACTCACACAAAAAAATAAAGAGTAGGCAAGTAAAATTGAGAAATACAAAATTACTTTAAAACAACTCTGTCATTAACACACCTTATTCCAAACAGGCATACCTGAAATTCTGGCTGAAGTTGATCTCAGTGGTCTCTCTTGATGCTGTCAGGGTTTCTTACCCTTCCTTAACCAGTTGCAAGTTGTTTTGCCATTTATGTGCCACCTATTGTTGTTTTCAATAAACTCCTTTTTTATTTAAACCTACACTTTAAGTTTCTGTCTGGTTTCTTGGTACCCTGACAGATGCTCAAAGGTTGCTTACACTGACCTCTATGTCAATACAGGGCGCAGCAGTGATGTAGAGGCTGGTGGGCTGCTTGATGATCCCAATTTCCTAGCAGACTTCATCCTGGGAATCCTTTCCATCTCTGTTAGATTTACTGAAAGTGTATGTATAGCTCAAACGTTTGCTTTTATTTTTGGATAAAGTAGGGAAGGTTTAACATTTCTGTCAATGTATTGTTTGCTGTCTATGTCCCATTAGGAAGATTTTTCATCACTTCCTGTGCCACAGACACAATAGAAATGTGGAAGAAATCTCTACAAAATGAGTAGAACTTTTCTCTTAGGCAGCTGTCACTGGAACAGGTATCCCTTTTGCATGATTTCCCTTCACCTCTTGTTCTAGTGACAACTGTAAACTATTTGATTTCCTATTATTTTTTTTCTTACTTAAAAAAAAAACCAATAAATGTATTCTGTGCAAAGAAGAGTAACGTATAAAAGCCAACCACGCTTTAGTTTACTGCAATGAGAATTGGTGAAACAAGAATTGTCATTGGATGCTGGGCAAAGGTACACTTTGCCTTATAGAATAAGCCCAATTTCATGTGCAGATACCTACATTTTTTCAGTGCATACATCCAGTAATGTGTCAGGATAAAACGATTTTACTGATCTTTTTAAAGCTTTCCCACTTTTGACACCAGTAAAAGCATGACTAATTGAATACATTGTAGAAAAATAGACATATGTTCAATTATTTTCCAGACTATTTAACAGATATAGGATGCTCTAAGGCAGTCATCTAGGGTAGACATAAAATTAGAATATTGTTTCATTGTTAATGTTATGTTTATGGAGATTAGCTGCAGACTCAATATACTAATCCAGTGCAATCATTAATAAGAAAAGTTTCAAATGTAAAATGATCTAAAAATGTATCTTGTTCTTCCTTCAATTAAAACTTAATGTAAAATTACAAGAACACTGATTATTCATTTTCACCTACACATTATAGGATTAATGTGTATCTGACGTTGCTGTTCTTTTAGTAAATTAATAATTCCAGAGAAGATAGCATTTTCAGGGCTGTAATAAGTTGAAGTCCAGCTCCAGAAAAATAAAATACCCTCCCACCCCAATCTGCTTTTAGCCATTCATTAGTTAAAAAAAGCCACTAGACCCCTTTAAAACGTCCACTGTTACTTGATGATCCAAGGCACAACTTCCATTACTGGAAATCAGTAATTGGAAGCTGTAGGCCAGTTGCAGCCTCTTCATTATTTTACTACTGGAAAACCTCAGGACCTTGTGAGCACATTTTGAGGACCCTGTGATGGACACTTATGGCAGCCAATAGGCAGTTTTTGTATCAGCAGAAGGAGGCATAAATACTGCAAGAAGAGCCATCCCACTACAGACCAGAAGAAAGAAGGATTGGGACCTGGCCTGTCGTTGACTGTTTTATTAGGTCAATAATGGGGAATTTAAGTATGTATAGATTAACTAGAGGCAGGTGGAGTGGATAGGGAATAAGATATTTCCTTTTAACTGGAGTTGAGCTTTAATGCTGTCCTATACTTACTATATTAAAAGAAAACTATGGGGTAACATTTTTATTCAATAGTTCTCTTTAGGGTCACGGTGAGGACATATACTAACATCCTCCCGTGACCCAAAGCTCAGTATAGAGCGGGCTATTGCCTGCTCTATACTGAGAGTGCCGCAGCCTGGATGGATCCTGACAATACTGTCGAGATCAACCCAGCTGGCTGATTGACAGCGGGTTCTGCCTTTCTATAGGCAGAGCCAGCTGTGCCCGCCCCCTCACCTGTCCGTTCCTTCAATCAGTGCTGGAGGAACGTAGAGGGGAGGAGGGAATCCCTGCAGGGAGTGGTGACTGTCAGTCAACGCTCTCTGCAGGGAGATGATCGGGAAGTGAGCGAGCGACGGTATGTGTTCGCTCAATTCTCGATCTATAAGTCGATGTCACAAGTCGGCTCTAACTATGAGGATGAGTGTAGCTAGACACAGGAAATGTTAACCAATCACATCTAGAGATGTGCTCATAATTTTTTTTGTGCCTGCTTCATGAGGACGCTGGCACAGAAGATCTGCCCCTGAATAAGTCCATTAAAATTGGTGGAGAATTTTGAGGGCAAAACTCAACTACTGTATTTAATCTCAATGCAGAAACAATGCTACAGTGAAAGCAGGCTAGGGTCACCTTAAAATTTATAGACAAGTTTCTCTTCAAGCAAGCTGCTGTAACATACTTACCCATTCGCGCTCCGGGTACGGAGTCCAGCGCTGCCTACTCCCTCAGTGCCACTCCGCTCCTCCTCTCAAGCCAGCTGTCAGTTTAAAGCCGGTAAGTTTGAAATGCTCAGGGTCCTAGCAATGAAGCTGACACTGAACATTTCCCCTGCCTTGGCAACACCACTCTATCCTGGAAAAAGAAATAATAAATATCAATGATACTCACCTAAACCCTCTCCATCCTAAATTGTAGCCAGTGAATATCTATCTACACTCACCATCCTGGGAGAATAAAGGAAGAATACTTACTTATCCACTCACTGGCCTGGGTTAGAAGCTGTGTATTCAACTCCCCTGTGCATGTCAAGGAACTCTCAGTCCACTTTAAGCTACAGTACTCCCTCCTGCAAACTCTGCAATGAGCTTCCACTCTGGAATTACTGCAACACCATCTAAGTGTGCACTGCAAGGACTCCCGGGGAGGTTAGACCTTGACTTCCCACTGGCATCACCATAACCAACCGACGCAGCTAACCACAACTATATGCTGTGCTTACACTAACTGGCAGTTATCCTTACTAAATGCCACCGTGGTAAAAAGTTACTTATGTAGCCAACTGGAGGTTGCACTGTAACGTGAGTGTTTTTGTACTGGCGATTTACTGGTGTAGTTCTAAAGGACTCATTATTCACCGGATGGGATATTTGTGTAATACAGTCTACCAGCTGCTTGGAACCCTCCTAATATAGGAGTGTGGATATATATATATATATATATGTATATATATATATATATATTCCTTCTATCTAAAAGCATCCCGGGTCACCTTCTCCTGTAAGTAACCCTAGCAGCAGCTATGTCCGCAGCTGTGATCTGTTAAGGATTACATTTGTTACAGTACAGTTGTTACAGATGCCCTCTAGCTGTGTCGTAAGGATTGATTCTGACCTTGCACCCTGGCCCCGTAAGGCCTCATTCACACGACTTACAGCCGGCCCGTACAGATCTGTGCTGCATGTACAGCCGTATTGGGCTCCTTCCCGGGAAGGACAGGTGCTGCGTGTGATTTGTACATAGCAGCCTGCTCTTGTAGTCTTACTAGTCTTACTAGTACAAACATTAGGGAAACAGATCAAGGTTTCATAATGTACATATCTATCCTGCTTCCCTAGAGTTCATAGTGTCAACACCAGTTACAATCTGTACAAGGAAGGTTTACTGCTGACACCAAAGGGTATATGACTGCAACTCTACTACAGTAACCACATATGTATTGTCCTTAGAACTGTAGTTGCCTCTGGATCCTGAAAGTCTCATTCTGTTGCCATGTTTATAAATTTAACATCATCATCATCAAGAAAGATTCATTATTCCGATAACAGAGTCAGTGCCAGTCATTCATTGGGTTGATAATATTTTCTTTGTGTGTTGTCTTTTTAACCTGTTTTCTTTTTACAGCAATACATTTTTGTCCTCTTGTACCTTTGATGATGGATCTTCACTGTGTTAAGTAGAGTAGGGTAGGGTTCAAACTCCCAGCATTCATTTTTGCCCTGTCCTGTAGGCTAAACAGTAAGTGAGACGA